TTTAACCACAACTCAACAAATTGCAAAATTAGCAAAGTCATTAGTACATGTATCTTAGTGCGTGTTGCATTGCGAACCACAACCATATTCCTGTATAATATTCCTGTACATATAAGTAATCAATTATCAAAATATGGTTTTGTTTCTCAATGCAACACGTGGTGTACTAGAATGTTAAACAACATAAGCCCCCAACATTTTCCCTTATACTCAATGTTAAAGTGGTTGAGGGTACCATGCTTCCATCGGTTATTCCAATATTATCCTAACTTTTTCTCGCAAAAAATATACAGCACAAAATTAGACATGTTGAAAATAATGAAAATATGTAAACTTGTGGATAATCCAATTTCATGTTTGGCAAAAAAACATGGGCCAAAATACAGCTTTATTGAAACCTTTTCTTTTGGATCGTATTGCAGCCCCATACCTACTCCTGAGGGCCATGCTATGAACAAGTGGAATATGCACTACTTGAAGATGTTTGCATATTATATGTCTAATCATAGTTCTGCTGCTCTTTTAAGCAAGATTTTGCACAAAAAAATCGTACAAATTCGTAGTATAAATTTGATTCTGTATTGGTTTTCAAACTATCCCTAATTATCAAACTTTAAATAACCTTGTATCAACACTGTCTAACCTTACACATAAGTTTTAACTTTTTTGGCACAATAGCTTTTGAGAAATCCAACCATGTTTCCACTATTTCTGAATTATTTCCCCTTGAAAGATAGCGTAGCCTTTCATTTGAACAAAAAATAATACTTCTAATCATCAGAGATTGGTTTATGACAAGTCTATTTGTTGACTAGCTTTGAAATCTGGTACCTGTTAGAGACAGGTAGCTTTGAAATCTGGTACCTGTTAGAGACAGGTAGCTTTGAAAACTGGTACCTGTTAGCGGTAGGTAGCTTTAATATCTGGTACCTGTAAGAGGTAGGTAGCTTTGAAATCTGGTACCTGTTAGAGGTAGGTAACTTTAAAATCTGGTACCTGTTAGAGGTTGGTAGCTTTGAAATCTGGTACCTGTTAGAGGTAGGTAACTTTAAAATCTGGTACCTGTTAGCGGTATGTAGCTTTGAAATCTGGTACCTGTAAGCGGTAGGTAACTTTAAAATCTGGTACCTGTAAGAAGTAGGTATCTTTAAAGTCTGGTTCCGGTTAGAGATAGGTAGATTGAAGATCTGGTACATCTTAGAGGTAGGTAGCTTTGAAATCTGGTACCTGTTAGCGGTAGGTAGGTTTGAAATCTGGTACCTGTTAGCGGTAGGTAGGTTTGAAATCTGGTACCTGTTAGCGGTAGGTAGCTTTAAAATCTGGTACCTGTACGCGGTAGGTAGCTTTAAAATCTGATACCTGTAAGCGGTAGGTAGCTTTGAAATCTGGTACCTGTTAGAGGTAGGTAGCTTTGAAATCTGGTACCTCTTAGAGGTAGGTAGCTTTGAAATCTGGTACCGGTTAGCGGTAGGTAGCTTTAAAATCTGTTACTGTAACGGTAGGTAGCTTTGAAATCTGGTACCTGTTAGCGGTAGGTAGCTTTAAAATCTGGTACCTGTTAGAGGTAGGTAGCTTTGAAATCTGGTACCTGTTAGAGGTAGGTAGCTTTAAATTCTGGTACCTGTTAGAGGTAGGTAGCTTTAAAATCAGGTACCTGTTAGCGGTAGGTAGCTTTAAATTCTGGTACCTGTTAGAGGTATATAGCTTTGAAATCTGGTACCTCTTAGAGGTAGGTAGCTTTGAAATCTTGTACCTCTTAGAGGTAGGTAGCTTTGAAATCTTGTACCTGTTAGCGGTAGGTAGCTTTGAAATCTGGTACCTGTTAGCGGTAGGTAGCTTTGAAATCAGGTACCTGTTCGCGGTAGGTAGCTTTAAAATCTGGTACCTGTTAGAGGTAGGTAGCTTTAAAATCTGGTACCTGTTAGAGGTAGGTAGCTTTAAAAGCTGGTACCTGTTAGCGGTAGGTAGCTTTAAAATCTGGTACCTGTTAGAGGTAGGTAGCTTTAAAAGCTGGTACCTGTTAGAGGTAGGTAGCTTTAAAATCTGGTACCTGTTAGAGGTAGGTAGCTTTAAAAGCTGGTACCTGTTAGCGGTAGGTAGCTTTAAAATCTGGTACCTGTTAGAGGTAGGTAGCTTTGAAATCTGGTACCTCTTAGAGGTAGGTAGCTTTGAAATCTGGTACCTGTTAGCGGTAGGTAGCTTTGAAATCTGGTACCTGTTAGCGGTAGGTAGCTTTAAAATCTGTTACTGTAAGCGGTAGGTAGCTTTGAAATCTGGTACCTGTTAGAGGTAGGTAGCTTTGAAATCTGGTACCTGTTAGCGGTAGGTAGCTTTAAAACTGGTACCTGTTAGAGGTAGGTAGCTTTAAAATCTGGTACCTGTTAGCGGTAGGTATCTTTGAAATCTGGTACCTGTTAGAGGTATAGGTAGCTTTAAAATCTGGTACCTGTTAGAGGTAGGTAGCTTTAAAATCTGGTACCTGTTAGCGGTAGGTAGCTTTGAAATCTGGTACCTGTTAGAGATAGGTAGCTTTAAAATCTGGTACCTGTTAGTGGTAGGTAGCATCATATTCTGGTATCAGTTAGAGGTAGAGTGCTTTATCTTTGTATCATATGGCGTAAATGTCTTATCCTATTTTTTTTTTTTTTTTTTTTTTTTTTTTTTTTTTTTTTTTGCATATTTATTATACCGTTCGAATATTTGTTTCTAAATTACCCTCAAAATTATTCAGTTCTCGATACTTTTTTCCTACTAAATGTTTTGTTTTAATTTCAGTAGAATGCATGAGGGGGTGATTGCTTAGTTATGTCTGAATTTTTTAAAACAATCTTCTCATGTTTGGCCACATTTCTCAGAGTGCCAAATTTATATAAACCTTAATATAAATAGTTGAAGCATTTAAATTATTTGGATATAGTGTATCATTAACCCAGTTCCTGCGTGCAAAAGTTTGAATATATTGATGCGGGAATATAATCGATAGTTGTTGCTCTCTGATCATTAAATCATTCTCTGCTTTCACAAGCACTCTTTACCACCAATATATCGAATGATATGAAATAAATCGATGTTTTTGTCTATATGTCTCTTAGTTTTTTTTTTATATGCATTTGATAATGACTAATGGTGCCAAAGCATTAAAAAAAGAAATGAAGAATTATTCACTGAAAAATATCGATCAGTTAGAATGAAAAGTTTTTGTTTGTATCAGCAAAAATCTATAAATTCTAAAATAGGAATATCATACATAGAATTATATACCGTTAAACTATGTACATTTTTTTGGTAATGTTTTTTTTTATATCAAGACGCATCCTGTTCATAAAATTTCACATCATGCATCAGGCGGGTGTTTCTGTGTGGGCGGGGGGGGGGGAGGAGGGAGGTTAGATATTTATTGGTCTGGGAATCGCGGCTCTCCATTGATCCAGGACTGTGCTCTCTACGCAATATTAATTAAAACGTTTGGGGACACAACCAAAGAGAAATTCCTGTTAGAAGCCAAAATATATGAATTAAATACATTGTAAATAAATAAATAAATTAAATAATTAAATATCTAAGTAAATAAACTCCTTCGTGTCTATATGTTTGTGGCGGGGGGGGGGGGGGGGCACAGCTCTGTTAAACACTTTTGTTTCCATTTTATAACCATAAATGTTAAAATTATTGTGACGACCCATCCTTTCGTGACGACCCATCCTTTCCCCCTTGCCACCCCCAGTTCACAAGATCTTAAGATCAACAATTTGAAAACATAAATTTCTCTTTCCCTTTCTCTCTCTTAATTATTACTTTTTACATATAAATAAACATTAACCTTTCTAGGAAACGATTGATGTGGAACTTTTTGATAAGGGTACAAATCCATGGTTATCACCGTTGTAAGGCGAGATAACTCGTACGCACTTATGGAGAGATAACTCCTGCCAGCCACCCTGCAAGCGGTACCAGATAGCCTCGACCTTAATTATAACCTTCTTGGAATACTCCATTCAAAAATTTCAAGGGAGTCGAGTGCTAAAGTTTAGTACGGTAAATGTGATGAAGAATGTTTGGTCTGTTGTAAGATCAATGTCCATGACTACATGTACGTCTAGGTGTATTGTTAAATTGTCTCATCACTTTCACACTGACATATTGTGGGTTTGAAAGATTCCCTACATTGTTTATATGTTATCGTTTCAACCAAAAGAAATGCAAGTGATTATAGTTTTGTGATCCAGCATTCTTCTCGTTGTCTACGGAATGGAGTTAGTACCTAAAACGGGATTGTTATAGTTGGATGATATATTTTTTTTCTTCAAAATTCTAACCCTATTGAAAGGATAGAGTGGTCAGGCGAATTGAACTGTTTATAAAATGCTTATTATTTATTTCAAACGTGTATTGATCCGACATATTCTTTTATGAAGTGAACCATTTATTTCCCCAATATTAATCAGTCCGCATATAGAGTACATTCTATAGACAAGTCTAAGATAAGAGGAAAAGAAAGTGACCTTGACCTGACCTTGCAACTAAATTACGAAAATTTTATCTTACTAATAACATCATTTTAATAGGAATATTGTCCTCTCGACTCTGTGGAAATAAATATGAGAAGAATCTATTCTTAAGGTCTCACAGGGTGGGGGAAAATGTAGTATATAGATTATTGAAAATGAATTCAGTCTTACCAGCAAGTATTAAGAGACAAAGATTGAATCGAGATGGGGAATGGTGGGGGTACTAGGCCTACGCCGATAAAGTCCAGTAATCACATTGTACGGTCAACATATGCTGCGGTCTCTCGGGTGACCCTACAGACCAATGGGCCTCTTGCTATGTTGTAATTAACCTTTCCTAAACAAATTTATATGTATCTATCTTTATATTTGTTATTTTATTATATTATTTATATATGTGTCGTCGTCCATGAAAAAAAAAATCCGAATACATCACGCAGGTCGAAACATTTATGGTACGTCTTAACTTTCAGAGAAGAGCAGCCATCTTTAATTTGCAGAAAGACGAGGTCGGGAGAAAAGAAATTTGAAAACGGAGAATACAATTAATACTTCAATGTATGTTGAGAAGTAATACTAGAAAAGTCTATTAAATCATTGAAATTGACAGGACATAAGATGTTTGCTTGACTAGACAATGACCAGGTCAGCCATGCGATGAAGCAGAAAACAGGTCCAGCACAATCTCGGTTTTGCTGTATAGCTTGAAATAGCTATATGGCTTTATAAAGCTATTTAAAATAGCTTTATAAAGCTATTTATATGCAGTTTTTTCTGGAAAATGTTTTTTGTGAGAAATAGACAGAAAGTTGCAAGTATTTGATTATTCATATATGTACTATGGGCTATCAAAACAACAACCGAAATCGGACCTAGTTCTAACATTGCAGCATTTGAATACTCTTAAGCATAATGTATTTCCATTGAGTAACTGTACCATAATAGGCCTCCTTTATAATTCAATTGCAGAAGTAACTGTATCAATTGCTTTATATAGCCCCAAAACTTTTAGAACTTTGAGTACAAAGTCTCTTAAGGAGACACAATTTGATGAGTGATTTTTACATGCATTATATTTAGAAGAGTTCAAGGTTGAATATTATCACTGCACCAAGGTGCAACTTTTTGTGCATGCTGAGAAAATAACACATTTAACATGTTTAAGAAAAAAGTGTGATAAAATAGCCAAATCAAGCTATTTTGGATAGCTTAATAAAGCTATATAGCTAAATCAAGAGATTGTGTCGGACCTGGAAAAGTGTAGTCATTCTCCAAAAACATGCCCAACTAAGAATTTTTTAATGTCCCTTACAAATTTACTGTTGTAATATCTTAACTATAATTTTAAAGATCAATTTCAACTCAAAGACTTAACATACATATATGGTTTTGTAAATATTTCCCGATATATGTGCATTTAAAATTTTGATAAGAACACTATATAATGTTGAAAAACATATTCCACTGCAAATCTTAATGTCGCTTCATTCATATACAAATTTCAAGATGAAATTTTCAGCCGTATAATGGTTCAGAATAGATTGCAATGAATGCTTAAAAAAGTTTCAATTTTCCTATATAAAAAGAAAACAAACCACTTTTCACAAAGAAATGCATGGATCTTCTTTCATACGAAATCATAGCATGCCTCTGAAAATCAATCAACTTCCGTAACGATTTTATTTTAAATTAAATGCACAGAATTCAGATTTAAAAAAGAACTGAAAGTGACCATGGAACCTAATAGTTTTCGATTGACACGATATTACCAAGAGTTATTTCCCATTGGTCGCCATATTGGAAGTATACAAGCCCGAATTCCTTCATTATTCAACCAATTTAAACTTGTCATACTGGGCAATTGGGTGAAGATAACACAATTTTTCTTATGAATTTATGTTAACTCAAGCTTCCTTTAATTCGTAATTGTAGTATTTTAAAGATTTTTGCCCTAATACTTCTGCCACACAAGTTTAAAATTAGGGCTGTATCAATTTATTGATTAATCGATACGTATTGATATTTAAGAATGTATCGTATCGAAAAAATAACTTCCACTACATATCGGACAGACAGATTTTCTTATAATTCTGTGAAAAAGTTGGGAATTTCAATCACCAAAGGTTATAGTTTTCACTGTTTTGAATTAAAATTGATCAATAATGATAATAATTATTAAGGAGATAGCACATCTTAGATAAATATTACAAAATACATCGACAACTTTATTTAACATGTTGTTTTCACAATCATTAAAAGTTTGAATCCAAAGTGTAATTTGTTATGACAGTGAGACAAGAACTTCAAAATGGGTTATAAAATGATTAGTTTTTATAAAATTTATGCATTAAATGAATTATAATACTTTTTTGATAGACTTGTTAAAGAATCCAATATATCGGATATTGCTTTATAAAATATCGTATCATATCGAAATTTTTTTGCTCAATACACAGCCCTATTCAAAATTGGTTGCTCAAAGAGGAAAATTTGCTCGCTGGACCTCCAATATGGCGGCCAATGGGAAATAACTCTTGCTAAATTTAGGCCTGTCAAAAACTATCTACATGTATATCATCCATTCTAGTTGCAACTCCGCTACTTAAGGCCATTACATTTTTGACATCACATAATGAATTGGGAAAAAACAGTTGTCACCCTTTAAAAAATTAAATTCCATAATGGTAATTCAGGAATGTTTTTGCATTTAAGGTATAAATTCTTTTATTATTTTGGGAGCAAAATGCTTCATACTTTTGTTTAACATCAAACAAACTTTAATTTTCACTATTGCAGAAAATTTCAACTTTTATTGCTGGAAAAAAAAACTTCCATAGTGATTAACTTCTGTAAAGATATTTTTCCCGAAATTTTAACTTGATATCGGATTAATGCCAGACTTCAAGAATCATACTTCAGCATTCTATACTGAACATCAGAAAACGAAAATTTGGTCAAATTCAGATTTTATTTAAAAAATAATAAGACTTGTTCAAGAATTGACTTATGTAACATTACCTTAAAGTCAATGGTAAAATGAAGTTGATGTGAAAAGTTAAATATACCAGATTTGTGGACAATTCTTTTTTTTCAAGTTCACTGATATGTCCTTTAGAGAATTATGATGTTCAATTTGCTATTTGAAACAATAAATTTTTTCACGTTTTATACCCTGAATTGGTCCTTTTATCGTAGAATGACTGATTTAAGCAGTTTACAGTGGTTTTGTTGTTCTGTGTTGAAATACATTTTATATTGTGTTATATTTATGCATTTAATATTTTTGTTGCAGAACTTATAATCGTATTCTATGGATTATATTTAATATTTTCATTTTGTCTTTGCAGATTTTGATTGAATAAAGTATCGGCTATGGAGCAATAATAATATCAAAACCAACATGTCTTTTAAGCGACCAACAGAAATATCATGGGACAGGTACATATTTATATACCAATACATCTGCAGCTATGAATTCTGATTTGTAATATTTTTTAGTGTGACTGTTTAAGGCAAGCGCAGTTGTACCATGGACGACCTTTACACGGCTTATGCTTGCAACTTTGATCTGCCTCTTAAAACTTCAATCTGCACCAGACATAGAATCATTCAACCAGACACTCGGCTGTCATATATATATATATATATATATATATATATATATATATATATATATATATATATATATATATGTGTGTGTGTGTATATATATATATATGTATATGTATATATATATATATATATATATATATATATATATATATATATATATATATATATATATATGTATGTATGTATGTATGTATGTATGTATGTATGTATGTTTCTTCTGTGGGATTGTGATTCTATATTAATAAACTGATCCTTCATTAGGGATATGAAAGGAAAAATAACAATAACAATCAATGAAATGTGTTCTACAATGGTAGAATATGCCATGATATACTATTTTCACTTTTAATACATTCACCATTATCACCTGGAATCCTGGTAGCGAAGGAATTCTTGAAAGGTTTCACACAAAAATTTGCTTGACCAATATAAAGATTTCAGTTTAATTTTCTCTGTTCTTACAAGTTAGTCTATAGAGCTATTAAATTATATTTACAGGGATTGACACTTTAAATTTTGTGCTTCCCAGCCTTTTGGGTAACCAAGCAAGGAACAACAGATTGCCCTTGTAAAAAAAAAAAATAAAATAAAATAAAAGTTTCCAGTAATATACCTGCAATTGAAATGTTTTCCAGAAATTAGATATATATACTTATTTTCTGCCCCAAACTAACCCAGTTTGCACAAAAAATGAGCACATCCCCAATTGTTTTTGCCAAAAAATTGGAGAGGGGGAGGGAGATTCCATGGAATGCTTAGTTGCACAATTGACAGATTTATAAGATCAAATAACATCTTCTTTCAATATATGTGTTTTTTTTTATTGTTATTACTACTTGATGTTTACTGTGGTAATGTGAAAAAAGTTGAAGTTGTGAAAAAGAGAAGTGTATAGTGTTTTTGTTGAGCCCTGAACTTTGTTGAATTATATCCAGAAAAGTACAAGTATTGAACTGTTTGTAAGATTTTATGATTTGCCTGTATATATTTTTTTTTGTTTTGTTCTGCAGTGATGAAGATGATGAGCTTTTAAGTATCAACACAAAGTTCAAGGTATGGCTATAAATAGAATTGTTTAAAGAAATTTATCTCATCCGGGAATTAAGATAAAAAGAAAATAAGATTCTGTGTATTAAGGACGAACCTGTATTCCTCTTAAAATTTTACAGTTGTAGTGAACTCTGATGTTACAAATTTGTGGATGTAGTGAATTGATTTTATGTCTTGTAGAGGTTGAAAATAACAAAATTTATTATATTTTTTGGTATTAAAGTATTTATGTGTAAAATTTTTAATTTTAATAGAAAACTTTAGTTCTCCAATTTAAGATTTTGTGTACTCTGAACATATTTGGTAGTCAGAAGAGGGAAAACATCAATATTGCAAACTTGCTTTATATACCATTAGAAGTTCATTATACGTACATGTATGTTAAAAATTATGGATATAGCAAAATAAATTTACAGATTCCCAGGACTTTGTCTTAATCAAGTTTTACTGTATTGCTATACCCGAGTTTATGATTCAGTGACGTAGTATCACTGAATATTGGATTTTGTTTTTGGTGACAGGCAGATGATGATGAAGAATTAGATGAAGACGCATTATTAGAGTCAGATGATGAATCATCACCAGTCCCATCGAAACCTCACACATCAGTTATAGAGAACAAGAAATCCCTGACCACAACAAATAAACCTGTCAAAACCTCCAACTCAGGGAGTGTTATAAACAAAGTGTCCATTAAAACTACCACCAGTAGAAACGGAGCACCCAGTGAGAATGTTTCTACAAAGAAAACAGGAAATGCAAGTTCTACTAAAAATAAAAAGATTACCCCTATTGTGTAAGTATTCAAATATTTCTTAGAGGAAGCTCTAGGCAGAACGATCCTATGCTCATTTAGTAGAATTTTTTGGGAACAATGACAATTTTATAACCCAAGACAGAGTTTTAAATGAAATTTAGTATATTGCACAGGACAAAATTTTGCACAAATCATGATTAAAGATGAAAATTTTTGAAGAACACAATTTAAGGTGCTTTAAGATTTGCATGTACAGCATCTCTTTCCTCAAGATTCAGAATTAGACAGTTTTCAGAAAATTACATGTAAGTGAAAGTTTAAAATAAATAATTTTTTTGAAAGCTGGACACTTTTTTCCCCTTGGAAAATGTTTGTGCATTCAGATATCAGTCCTTTTAAGTGTTAACATCAAACTTTGAATAGCAATCATGATGTGGCAGAATATGTGAAGGTAGTTACAAAATAAGCAAATGCAATTCCTATTTTTTTTTCTTTTTATAAATGAATGTACATATAATACAGGTAGCAGGGTAAAATCTGATGGTTATCAAATCTGGTGAAGAAAGACCTTATTATGGCACTTTCTGTTGTATCCACGAGAAAAAAAGATTAAAAGGGCATGGAACTGTTCACTTTTTGAGAGGAAAAAAATCTGCTATGAAGAAGAAATGTTACTGATGGAACATTTCTGTTTCTCAAACATATCTAAAATATTATTGAATGTCCTGTTCTGAATACATGTACATTCAAATCTTGAATACATGTACATTCAAATCTTGTGTCCATCCATCCACCCATCAATCTGTCTGTCCATACTTGCATTTAGTTCACAGTTTCAGTGAAACTGAACATGAAATTTTAAACAAAAATTCATACATAGATACATATAACATGAAATTTTAAACAAAAATTCATACATAGATACATATTGTTCAGAGGAATTTCAACTTAACGGGTATTTTTTTTACTTTAACCTTCCATTTAACCTTGACCCTACGTATCCCTCAATTTACTATTAGTTCCTACTACTGAATTCTGTAGGGAATTGCTTCATACAACTCCACACACAGAACAAATTTCTGTAATGCATTGCAATGATCTACAATACATGTAAATGTGTACCAGAATTTTGAGGGAAACAATGCACACATTTCTTTTCATGTTGCAGTACAAATTGCACTTCTAACACTGTCTAAGAAAGACATTCATGACTTGTTTCTGATGCATTTAAAATATTATTATTGCTGAAAATTATTTTGAAATATATTTGTTTCATCTTTGAAATTTTCTGCAGATTTAGTGATTCTGAACCAGAACCAGTGTTAATCTTAGAGGATCCAGAGGAAGATTTTGAATTTGATGATTCTGGAGTGACAGAGGCAATTCTGGACAGCAGTCAGGTAGGAGTCTCAATAAATGTGAAGTCTAGTGACAGTTTATTTAATGTTGCATCTTATTATCATTTAAACACAGGTGTGATATGAACCCATTAAAAAAAATCACCAAATACACTGTTCAATTTTAAACTTAAGCTTTTCATCTGATTGCCCTGTTCCATTAACTGAAGTTGGAATTCTGATTTTATTGAATTTGTTTTACAGGGTGAGGAGGCAGGAAATTTTGAGTTTACAAAGCCATTTGAAGTCCAGTCTACACTACATACAACACATGTAACGGTCAGTCAGAGAGAAGAGGAAGGCCTGGAGGACCAATCAGATGTCTCCAATCTGGAGGTACATGTACATGTATATAAGGAATAACTGTCTAGTTGTTTGGTTTTATGATGTGATCAAACAGTTTGCTCATGTGATAAATCGCATAAATGCCAAAGGCATTTATACATAAAAATATCAGGTGAGCAAACCATTTGATCATCATCATGAAACCTAAAAACCAGACAATTATTCCTTATCTTTATATTTTTACCTGGTCCTGATTCAGTTTGAAAAACTAGAGAATTCCATTATTTTTATTTGTTAATAAAAAAATTGTAGTCTTCATGCCCTGCCTAGTGCCCCAAACTAATTTGACTTGTATTTATTCTGGTAAATAAAACCTAAGCATTGTCCGACAAATTTAATACTTGCTTTAGCATGATTAGTATGATTTCAGCATGGACAGGTGCTGTTGTATGACCGACAACATCCAAAATAAGAATTCAATGATTATACATGTATTTACATTGATTTCTCTAATTTTCTCTCTTCATAAATGTTCACTTCATTCATCTTTATTATAAATTTAGCACCCTTCGGAACTGGTGTAGTTAAAAGATGTAAGAGTTGTTTTGATATAGGAAGATAACTACATGCAATTCAAATGAATACTGCAAGGAAAAAAATGACAAAATAATTTCAAATGTAAAGTCGTTATATTTTTACAACAATTTAATAGGGTAATTGTAATTAAATTAAGCCAAAACATCATACATTTTGGTGTTCTTCAGGGTTCTCATTAACGCAAGAATCTGCGTCCTAGACGCAGGAAAATTCCTTGGGACGCAAGGTTCTTAAAAACGATGCGTCCGCGGACTTGTGATCGGACGGGTCCTCGTTAGCGAGAAAATTCGGGAGATTTCGAAAACGGGGAATTTAGATGTTAGGATTTGTCAAAGAAATATTTAATCAAAACCTTCATGTAACTATCATAAAGTTTATCCAAGAAACAACTTTTCTTGTACTTATTTCACTTTTTTTAAACAGGGATTGATCATAAGATATTTCATGTTTATTAGTCCAGTCATAATAGTGTCGCATGCCAAACTTTAAAAAAAAAAACATCTCGTGAATTTCACCCAGTGCAGACGACCGACAGGATTAGTTACGCCTCATTGCACATGACACCTGTGATTGTACACAGTCAACTTTTGGGTACTAGTTGATTATGCAACAGTTAATTTTAGCTTTATAAACACCAAGTTATTTTTATGGCAATTGATTACGCGTGTATTTTAGAATAAAGCTTGAATGCATTACCAGTTTATATACTTGAATATGTTAATATTGCGTAAACAAACTGATAAAATGATAAAGATTTTTATTGATGTTTGGATGGAAGAATACTGCAATATTTTAGTTGGGACTCAACATAATTTTTCTGGGACGCATCAAATTTAGCTGGGACGCAACCTTCTCAGAAAACTTGAGTCCTGGGACTCAAGTTAGCAAAATCCTAGTGAGAACCCTGGTTCTTGGTGTATTGAAATTAAATGTAGTTCCAATTATGTATTCTACTGCACCGTAATAAGGTTTCTTGTAAGTAATAGGGGTTGGAATGTGTAGATTGATTTCTAATGAATGTAAAAATATTTGATTGGGTTTCACTCATATATTCATTAAGAAGAGAAATGTACACATGACTCTAATGAGCATTTTGGCTCAAGGGCGTATTGCATTTGAATTCCTGAAGTCTCATGACATATAGTAAGATGAAATTAAATTTTTTATTGTGTGTGTGCAGGTGTCAGTGGACAAGGGTCAGGAAAGCAGTGAAGAAAGTGAGGAAAGTGACCACGAGGATGATAGACGGGGACGATTTAGGACCGAGCGTCAGCAGACTGTCAAACTGACCAATCATAAACCAGTAGGCGATATTCCCGATACATTAGGTAAGTCAATCGTAAACCAATAGGCGATATTCCGGAAACGTTAGATAAGTCAATACTGACTTGTTATAAACCAGAAGGCGATATTCCCAATACATTAGGTAAATCAGTACTGATCAATCATAAAACAATAGGCGATATTCCTGATACGTCAGGTAGGTCAGTACTGACCAATCATAAACCAGTAGACGGTATTTTAGATGCACATTAGGTTAATCAATACTGACCAATCATAAACCACTTAGTGATATTCCTCATACATTAGACTAGTCAATACTTATAAATTGTAAAGAAACCAGTAGGCAATATTCAAGATACATTAAGGAAATCAATACTGAACAATTGTAAATCAGTTAAGGAATGACTCTAATAGCTACCCAAGTTACACTGGTATAACCTGGGTTGGGGCAGTTTACGCTTTATAAACCGCAAAGCGGTTTATAAAAAAGCGTAAACTGTTCCAACCCAGGTTATACCAGTATAACTTAGGTAGCTATTAAAGTCATTCCTTATAATTTAATTTCCCATCATTAAGTGTAAAAAATAAAAGAATTTCTCCTTCAAAAATGCCTTTAAATTGTACGTATTTTAAATGTAACGTCAAGCGGATTGATACGATTTTGACATAAATCATTGTGATGTAGGCAACCCAGGTTATACGCTATATTCTATTTTTTTATCCAATCAAATGACGCTTTACAACCAAAATTAAATTATGAGGCAATATTCTTGATGCATCAGGCAAGTCAGTACTAATCAACTGTAAACCAGTAGGCAAAATTCCAGATATATATTACGCTCACTAGTACTAACCAATTGTAAACCAGTAGGTGATAGTCCAAATGCATTAGATAAGTCAATATTGACAAATCATGCATGAACCAGTAGGGAATATTCCAAATACATTAGGTAAGTCTATTCTGACCAATCATAAACCAGTAAGCTATAGACTAGAAAAACTTAAGCTGTTGTAAAATGCAAAGTTATATGCCTGTCTGTCTATGAATAGCCTTATACATCCTAATTTTTTTGATAGGTATCAGTATTTAACCGAGTACAAGTGAAGATTTCATCAAAAAAACATACAAGTCTTGTTTATGGAGTTTTAACATGGATGGACATTGTTGTTTGTTTACTTAAATAAAATGATCAGTTTGAATGTTATAAAATTCTTCATCTGGTGTAGATTATGTCTGATTGAAAAAAAAACGGGTTACTTTATTCTAAAAATTAATGTTTAACGTGGATTTTAAATGTATGCATTATCAGGATTACTAAAAGTTGCTTAATTTGTAGAATTATTTCAAAATCACACAGGTTTCAAAAGTGACTGAAAAAGGCATTGCAGAAGGTTCTGAAACCATATCATATTTTCCACAAAGTTTCAGTCGAATAGGTAGTAAAGTATTGTTGTATTATACTGTAAAAAAAACATGGCATTTTCAGAAATATCTAAAGAACAAGAAGAAGAAATAGAGCAGTTCAATAAATCCCATAACAAGTCCCACAGAGGGAGGGGCAGGGGTAGAGGTGGATCATCAGGTAGGGGTGGATTTTCTGGAGGAAGAGGGGGCTTCTCAAATAGAGGAGGGTTCACAAATCGGAATGGTCCACAAAGGAGAGATTTTGATCAGAGAGTTCCACCAACTAATCATAATTTCCAGCATAACCATTTCCCTACAAATTTCCATCAGGAAGCCCTGCCTTCACTGAGCCAGCCTCAACAGGTTAGTATGATGAAACTGGATTTGATATGGAAAAGACTTCTGGATACTGAAAGAAGAATATTCAAATGGTTTTGAAAAGTTTGATTCCCTTTTTGATAAACAAAATTTCATTGTGTTTGTAGAACACATCCAGTGATTTTCTTAAAATATGTACTAGGTAGGAGAGGATGAAGTAAAAGATTTTAATTTATACTTTAACTGTAAAAGTAGTTTTTTCTTTTGGGGTCACAATTCCAGGGAATCACAATTTCCGATTAATCCCCGGGTAGAAAGTACATGTAAATGGATTTCAACTGTCTCTATATACCTAACATGTATTATAAGTATACTGGGACAAATATCTGCAGAAAATTTGTGTATACATAGCATAGATTAATACCATGTAGAAAAAAAGTACTTCTACAGTATTATTATTATTACATTCTTAGAGCCATCCTCCTCCTCCTGCTTCAGTACCCCAGAAGATTCATATAAACCCTCATTTTCGACGAGGGTCCATGCTCCCTCCCAGACAAGGGGATGGCATAATGGCGACCCCAGGGATACCCCCTCTGCTTAGACCCAGAGAACCCTCCATGATGCAGCTACAGCCTCGAGTTCCCATAGTGCAATCTGTACCACAGGTAGAATTTTAGAATTTGTTGTTCTGTTTTCATTATCTTTTATTGTTTTGGAAGACTCCTACTGTAAAATCACATATTTTCGTGGGGTCTAATTTTCTTGGTTTGAGGAAAAACTGTTTTCATGGGGATTTGATTTCATGGATGAAGAAAATGTTGAGTAGTTACATGTATGTATATGACATCTTACATTTTGTGGTGGACTTGAATTTTGGGTCTCTTCATACCTTGAAAACAAAAAAAAAAATTTGAACAAAAATTCGTGATTTCAATGAATTTTTGGTTGTATTTGATTTATTTTTTAGGAGCAAATCATGATCATTTAAAATTTAAAAAAATAATTTTAGAGAATTTTTTATTTGAATTCTCACAGAGTGTTCCCTGGACCTCGCAGGCCAACCCTCAACCAATATTCAGCAGACCTCCTCATCCACTACACCATCAAAGGCAGGATCTTCCACCTCACCATCATTATGCAGGTAAGTCATGGAGATTTCAGATTTAAAGAAGCTCTAAACACAAATGAAAAGTGTTTTTTTTTTTTGCACTTTGAGAAACTTGTTTTTTATAAAGGTGTATAAATTGAGTTTATCTAGTTCTTTTTCAACATATGGTAACTGTCATATTTCCTGAAGAAAAATGTTTAAAGATGAATTATTAATGAATTGAAATCACTTTTGTTTACTTACCTAAGAAAAATACATGCAAATAATGTTTTCAATTACTTCTTCTTGGTAATATATCTAATATAATGTTAAGAATCCTTTAATCTTTTTCAAATTGTATCATTTACTGTAGCATTTCACATCAAAGGGCAGATCACTCTAAACTGCATTCTGCGAAATCACTTATTTTCCTTGGGGGGGGGGGGGGGGGGGGGGGGAATTTTCATTGTTTTCATGGTATGAAGAGACCCACAAATTCATGTCCCCCATAAAATGTGAAAACTGCACACTGCAGTATAATGTTTCTCCTTTAACCACGAAATCAAATCCACTCTAACCAGTAATTTTTCCTCAAACCATGAAAAATTGACCCAACAAAAATAAGTGGTTTTACAGTAAATATACCATGGAATTAGAATTCTGAGAGCAGAATTTAGAGCCTCCTTAGATAAATAAAGATAAACACCCAAACCTAGCCTTTTATATATATATTAGAATTTCAACATTTTTTTTTATTCATTAGCTCCGCAGCCTGCTCCACGGCAGAATGATCCATACCCAGCATACTCTGCAGGACCTCCATCGCATGTTCATCAAGCACCACAACATTATGTGGGACCTCATCACCATCAAGTACCACACAGTGGGCCCCCTCCTTTCCATGGACAGCAGTATCCTCCAAAAGAGCAGTACCATCCTTCTGGGCCACCACCACAACCAATGGTGGGACAGCCCAACCATCAGTATCCTCCTCCACATCATCCCCCACAGTCTCAAATCAGGATAGAGCCCCAGCACCCTCCCCATGTACGGATGGGACCCCCACCCCATCAGCCTCACAGTGGACCCCCTCAACAACATCAACATTACAATCCGCAACATTATCAAGAACATAGGTAATAACACAACCAGTCCCATACTTTCTTTTACAAAGAGCGTTATAATTAACAATTGCAGTGTCTTCTAGTCAGAGAAAAAAAAATTAAAGAGGTCAGGTCTACTAAAAATTTCAGTACTAGTCTGTCTTGTCTAGTAGTTTTAAAGTTAATTTTGAACCCTGAATAGGTCATTAAAGAATGTTCAATATTCTGTACAGTGTATTCAATATTCTGAATAGTGTATTCAATATACTGAACAGTGTATATGACTCCTTGTATGTATCTATACAGGTATCCTCACCCACAACGTGCCCCTGAGCCGCACGTGAGGCCTGATTTCCAGCCTCCTCAACAAACACAGCAGCAGCAGCAACCTCCAATATTTCATCAGAGGGCCCCTGGGTATCAGTCCAGACCCCAGAGATTTCATTCTCAGGGACAAAGAATGCCTCAAGGTCCCAATACTGTTCAAAATAATGGAACACCAAGACAGCCTGTTATCAAGTAAGTTGTGAATTACCAACAGGATAAACAGTATACTTCTAAAATGTGATGTAAGCCATTGCTAGTGTGTGTGTGTGTGTATAGTATCTATAATACAGGTTTTTTTTTGTTGTTTTTAGCAGTCATAGCAGAGATTCATATGGTGTTGTCATTTGCATCATAAATATTTATATTTTTTAATAAACATTTCAAGATACCATTGTTTGATCATTTTATATGTTAATCTCTGAAAGGAAGTGTAAACGATTGATCTACTAATTGTGCTAATTGTAGATGTTAGAAACTGGTGTAATTTTCTTATAGACAAAAACAAAATGCTGTATTGTTAGCACATGCCAAAAAGCTGAGAGATCGTGCTAAGAAATTTTCACAGACTACACCTATAGCAGTCCCAAGTAAACCCCAGAAGAGGCCCTCGACAGAATCGATTGTGGAGAGCAGCACAGAACACTCCCCAGTAAAACAGACTAAGGTGGAAACCAAACCAATGGTAAAAATTTCATTGTATTTGGCTGATACTTCATAAGGCCTGTCTTTGTGTTGAATGTGTTCACTATTTTTACAACAGAATAAACATGAAAAATATTTCTTAAGTGAACTTGAAAATTAAAAATAGTAACAGAACTACAAATTCAAGCTGTAGCAGATACAAATTTTATTGAAAAAGATTAAAATAACCAAGAGCAGAACCAAGCTGTACACTGTATACAAGTGATACAACTAATTTGATCGAATTTTATTGAAGTTATATTTTGTCGGATGTGGACTACTACATCTTTGTATGTACATGTATATGCTACATGAGCATTAATTTATATCATAAATTACATGATGAAATGTTTTTTTTATCAGACACCAGAGGACAGGGAGCTACAAGAAAAGCTAGCACAACAGGCTCAGCAGAGAGAGTATGTTAGAAAGCGGAAAGAGGCTAACAGACAAGCACTGGCACAGAAAAAACGAGAAGAGTTAGCTCAGCGGCTAGCAGGGACAGGTACACCTTTGTATGCTATGTGTAATACTGTGGAATTGTCACTTTTCATGAGGGATCAATGTTGCTTGGTTTTGTGGGTCACCCTTACCCAAAAAATTACAAACCCAGAAAGAAATTTTTCCCAGTACTGCAATTGGTGAATCTTCTGTAGATACGAGTTACCCACATAAATATATCCCCAGGAACCAGTAAAATTTTGGTTACCCTTAAACATTGATCTCTTTGAATTAAATGATTCCACAGTGTTTATGAAATTAAAGTAAATATAGTAGAATCTTCTCATTGACATTGTATTTTGTTTGAGCTATGATAGGGTACATGTACATTATGTTGGTTATTCTTTTCACTTTAACTCCAACATTTCAAATTTTATTAAAAGAGAAAAATACTCTCTTCACCAAAAGATAACTAACAGATAAATAAAATACAAATATGCTTACTTTTAGGTCAGACCTTAGAAGACATTGAGCAACCGTTAACTTCAAATGCTCACGCACAACAACAGATACAAAGTAAACCATTGCATACCAATGTGGCTCCTAAAAAGACCATTCAACCTATTCACCCACCACAAGCTGGTCAACAGATCCAAACAGTGCAGTCAAATCAAATTAGATTTCAGAATGCACACATCTCACAACCTTCTCAAAATAATCCACAGAAAAAAATTGTGAACCTTAATAAAGGTGTCAGTAGACCAGTTAATACTCAGATGACCACCAATAAATCTATAACAAATACTCCAAAGGAAAATTCTAGTAAGAAACTTATGAAGAGGATAGAGACTGTAAAGAAAAATGCCCAGGGAGAAATCATCTCTCGAGAAATAAAGCTTGTTCCTATTGAGGATGAGGAAGTCATTAGTGAGCAAACCTCTGTGACAAATCATGGCCAGGTTCAGGTGGTCAAGAAGAGTACCGGGGTCATATCTACTGGGGGTCAACAGGCAGGAAATCGAACTGTGGTCAGTGGGAATAGGTCAGTGATCACCCCGGGGTCCAGCAACAGGTCTGTCATCAGATTAAATCCAGACAGTGGAAAGGATGCTGGAGGGGACCTCAGAAATGTTGTCAGTCAGCAAGCATCTGGGAGGGTAAGGAAATGATATACACTCTTAAATTAAGTATAGCATTACTTTTGGAAGATACTATCCTTTTATTTATTTGCAAGGATGTTTTCATATCCTTTATAAAATCAATAATGAGTTACATCCTGTTATTGTTCTTGAGAATTTTATGATCCTAGGAACTTGTATAAAATCGGCAAATAAATTATGATTTACTATATTTTTTACTTCCTATTTTTTCTGTTACTTAGTTCATACCTGCTGACTTTACCTTTTTTCCCCAACCCAATTGTATCTTAATCTTAATTTTACGGCCTAACTTTAGAGATTGAAAATTTCACAGGTACATGTATACGTTTGTGTATTATCTATTTCTTTAGGCTTACAGAATATAAATGGTTAATTTTTTATGTAGAGAATTGTTGTGAAATCTACTCCTAAATCAGTGATGGTGAAGAATTTGTCTATTTCTACATCGGACACCATTATCAAGAATCTCTGCACAACAGTGGGCCCAGTAGAGGTTTGTTAATTATAAACACCAAATTTCTTTCAGTATACATGTGTATGTAATGCTGTACGATATTACCGGTTAACCAGTGAATCCAGATTTCATTGTTCACAATACGTATCACAGTTTTTTTTTGTGAATACCCATTCAGGGTTGATATTCTATAATGTTACAAAAAGAGTTACTTGCCCTTGTTTAAGTAAAATATGGTGGCAAACATCACAGAGTTTAGATGAAATTAAAAGAGAACAGTTGCTACATGAAACCACTTCAAGTTAAACTATTAAAAATGACCCAACAAACTCAGCTAGCCACATGGACCAGCACCACACAGCCAGGCATTGTTGATATCAACGCAAGAACACATAATATTAGTATTTGTTTTCATATAAGAAGAAAAAAGAGCAAAAATGAATTTAACTTAATAATGTGATATATTGCAATACGAAATTTAATGTTGCAATATATGGTGTTTCAATTTTTCAGTCGAGATACCCAGCTCAGTAAATCTCTGCATATTTCATTTCAATTCAATCTATTACAACAGATATTTAGTTGCGATACTTTTTACAGTTCAGAAAAACAAGACTTTTGGTATCAGTTAAAAGCAGTTAGATAACAGCATTGTACATTTGTATTTTAATTTGACTCGTATATAATTTTTCAATACACAATGTACAGTATTTCATCCATCTGTCTTTCTTATTCAGAGCATAAAACGAGACCAGAAAGATGCTGTTGTGACGTTCATGAATGCGAGTCATGCATCACTGTTTGCCGAGAAATACAACAGGTACTTGTTTATAGTTCTATAATTATTGTCACTGTCAAAATTCTAGAAAGTGACATATAAAACTATAAGAGATAAGTTTAAATTTCATTATAAATTACTTACTTTTTATCCTAGGACACTTCTAGACCTGTCAACAATCCTTGTGTCAGTGATACAATATTGAAAGAAACTATGTACCAGAGATCTGAATGTCCAAAGTTTAACAGATCTGATATTAAAGAGCCTTAAGGGAAGGAGTGCAAATCCAAAATTTACCAAGGAGAGTTTCTAACAGTAGGATGGAGAACCAGGGCAAAAAAACACTGTCTTCCCAGGAAGCATGGACTGTCAAGTTCTAGCAACTAACTTCAGATTAATCGTGATTTAATGAGAAGTTGTTAGTTATGGGATATTAGTTATTATTGAAAGTCATCTAATTAGAAATTAGAAGTTGTACATAATCATGTAGCTGATTTCATACAACATGTACAAATGTTATAAATTACTATACCCGACGTAACATGAACATGCTAAAAGACAACAGTACATAAGCAGTTAAAAACTCCCAAAACATTTTTTTAATTTGAGTTACAGTAGATTTCACATGACAAGGTGATACATGTTAAGATAGATCACTTACTTGAACATTTATTATTTGAAAATGTAGTTTTATGAATAGCTGTTGAACAGAAGATACCTAATTAATGAGCTTTAGCCTCCACAAAAGCTGTTATTGAACATCTAAATGCTCACATAATATTGAGGAATTTTAACTAAGATTTATTGAAATTCAACCATTCTGGTGTTTAATCAATCAATGTTTTTTATAAGATTGCATGAGAAGGCACAAGTACATTAACTCTAATATTTTGATTGGTTAAATAGGCATAAGCATTTAATATATATATATATATATATATATATATATATATATATATATATATATATATATATATATATATATATATATATATATATATAGGAATATTCATGTAGAATGTACTTCTGGGTTTATGGGGAAAGTTGCTGTAAATATAAATTCAAATGTAACTAAAGAAAAAAAATCTCTTTTTCTGCCCCATTCAGAACTACTAAACTTAACAAAATCATTGTCAAGTAGCAAATAAATGATCACATAATTTGATAGACCCTTGTTGAATTATTAATTTGCCGACATTTAAATTAATATTATTTGTCAAATCAGACACAGCCCTTTGATGAATATTCAAGTGTTAAATGTTTGAAGAAGTCTTTGAATTTTAAAAACAAGAAAAACAGATCAATTTCTTGAACTTAAATTGATGTGGTTTATTTACTGCTAGTAATCAAGAGAAAAATCAGACAGATTTCAAATACCTTCTTGTGAGAAGAAGTTTTACTAAAACTTTTTATAATATCTTCTGTATTGACTGTAAATTTCTGAATTTTAATAAAATAATTATGAGTTAATCAGCAAAAAATGAATTAAAAAAAATGAAAGGGAAACTGTAAACAATTTCAGTAAATTTCTCAAAATCCTGGGATTTTTATCATTAGTTCAGCTAAACGTGTGGGATGAATTTTTTATCAGGCTGCTAGAGGATCATCAACTTATAGAGAAAAAAAATTATAAATAAATTTCAAAGATCATGATGACTTAGCTATTATGATGAGAACCCTCACGCCTTTTTGCATTATTATGCCTTCGATTCATCATTATTAAAATTTATTCTAAAATATAGAAGAAATTGAAAGTTCATTCATTAAAAAATTGATATGCTTTTTCATTTGATAAAGACGTTAAATGATTTTATCGGGTTTTTTTTCGTTGAAGTTCAAACAAAAAGAAAAAATCATCAGAATGCCTTCCGACTGTGTGAGACTTAAGTCACTGTGCTTTGCTTTTGCCTAGTAACCTAAAGCATTGATTAATATAATAAATTTTTGAGAAAAAATTACTAATTATATTCACTGTAGAAATGCAGATGACGTTTCATTTTAACAGAAACTTTTCAATTGATTCCTCAAGGTTAACATCTTTAGTTTAGTTTGTAGGAAAATGAAAGTAGAAGTAAGAACAATTTGAATCTTTTCTTCAGAACATCAGATTTATGTAGCAGATTTGCAGGATATTGTGCCATATATTTACAAATACATAAGAGAAATACATACCAGTAGGTTCTTTATCACAAAAGTCTGTCAAATTAATAATAAGTATTTTTACCTTGTCAGAGTGAAATCTTCAAATCATAATTCCACCTAGATAATAATTTACCTAGATATTATATACCCCTTGAATATCTCTAAACACACACAAACACGCGCACACTTCCCAATTCTTTGTAAATGGACTGTCAGAAAAGGCATATTGGATTTCTTACACGTTCCAGTTTGAGATATTTGATGGATTTATATATGTGATATAAGTGACTTGAACTGTATGGAAATAGCAATGCACCTGAAGGGTTTTCTTTTGGATAATGATATAAATGAAGAAGAAGAAACATTGAATGGACATATTGTGTTTATCGTGATAATAATTTTTTTGTCAACGCATTGAGAAGACTTGAAGAAGACCTAAGATGGCTGAATCTTTTCATGAAGAATAATGTGTGCGATACATCTAACTCTTTCTACAGAAACTGGTTTTCCCAATTGTAAATGGCAGGAAATGAAGGATATTGTATATAATATTAGAACAATGCAAGGGATTCATCAACTTGTACAACCCTTGACAGTTGATATACATGGACTGGAAGTGCAAAGCTTAAAAACACACACACACTGTACAAATACACATCAAACATTCTTCTTGATAAAACAAAGCCTCACATAAATTCAAACATATTCACAGCCAATCATAGTTAAGAATGAAGGAAAACATGTGGGAACATTTTGCTCTCCCTAATCTTTAATTAATTAAGTGAGACTTCACTTAAGACATTAATTTTCCAGGATTTTTATTGTGATTTCAATCATGCACCATAATGAATTCAATGTTGAGAATGAATTAACCTCTTGTACATGTTGATATTGTTTTCTGACTAGTGGTGAAATCATTTGTTTACCATTTCTATTAAGATCTCATATATGACTGTTGTCATCCAGATATCATTTTTGTGCAATTTAGAAACATTTTACATTTGGAACTGGAAACCGATCACTAACTAGGAATGTCATGTCAATGAGTGTACTCTGTTATTCTTGAAACCATGAAGTTGTTAAGAAAATAAATACACATGCATAACTTAATTTTCAATTGTTGTCAATGTTTTTGTTTATTTTTTTTTTATTTGTTAAGAATGCAGAAACTTTTTAATCTTTATATCTTTGTTATTAATTTTTTTTATATTTTTTGTGTGGTTTTTCACACTACTTATGGTGCTATTGTATACAAATTGATATTTTAGAGAAATATGTTGTGATTTGATTAAGTATTGTATCTGCATTCTTTGGATGCTATTTTTCATCAGATCAACCATGTTTAGATATAATTTATGATAACATGTGTATAAATGAATATATTCTTGTTGCTTTAATTTCTTGCCATGTTAAAGATATTTTTTTTTTTCAGGAAAATTTGATTTTTTATTATTGTTAATGTCTAAATTTGATATTGTTTAGCCATATAAAAAGGTACCGTAACAGTAGTTATGAATATATACTAGTATATCTATGCTCATTTCAGTATTTATCACAAACTTTATATTCAGTGTACTTTTGCTCTGCTTTCTTGAAAATTGCAGTTAAAATGTTTTGATGTGTTCTAATTCTTGTATTATTTTCAGGTTCTTTGTATCCAAATTTTGTATCTAACTGATTTGTTTTTTATCAACTAGAACATTTGGACATTTGGTAAGACACTGCACAAAAGATTTTTATTTACATGATGAACAAACACTATCAGAAAATCAGCTCAGCTTTATAGGTAAGTGTGTAATGTTCCTCAGAGAATTGTTCTTTTGATTAAAAATCTATAAATATCATGCAAGGTGATAAATGTATGCAAGATGTAAACTAAAAGGTACTGAAATACATTTAATACCTGTACTTAGAATTTCTATTAAAAAAAAGTACTCCATTCCTCCCACACACAGAGATTTTTGCTGGTTGTATATCCACCAATATCAGGTAAGCTTATTTTATTTAAGGAATGAATTAAATAGCTTCCCAATTTATATGGTATAAAGAGGGTTGGGACAGTTTACGCTTAAGTTTATAAACCGCGAATTAAATTGTTTATGCAAGATCATCAGAGCCTTTTGTTCTGAAATGTATATATAAACTGGTAATTGAAATTACTTTAATTATGCCCCCCCCCCCTCCAAAATTATTACAGATTATGGTACATAAAATAGTACTTTTAGGTAAATGGTAGGTTCTCTTTGAAAAATATACATATACCTCTTAGTATATATGGAATCCCCCCCCCCCCCCAACACCCACCCCTTTCAAAATGAAGGTGAACAGAATCTTAACAGTTACTTAAATCATTAATAAATTTTAGGGCTGGATGTGTTGCTGGTGTAATTTATTTAAGGTAAGCCCAAGAAAGTCAGAAGCTGTTGGTCTGTAGGAAATATAGATGGTAATGCTTTGATAATTTTTTTCCACATTTTAGTGCTGCCAAAACATAGTACATAGTACGCAATGTATAAAAAAAATTTAGTGAGAAAAAAGTGCTCACTTTGAAGATTGCATATTGATCAACAAGTTCTTGTTTAATGTTTGACAAATGATGTATTTTATGATTTCCTTAACATTGCTCAGTATTTTTAATGTTTATTATAGCATGTTTGATCTGATGAGTATGGCAGGGATAAGATAATAATTCAAGTTTGTCTTTCAGGGTTGCTTAATAGTCATATAAAACTTCCTTTTAAACAGGGTTTTTTCTAGGTCTTAAAATCAAGGGCCTGGGCCTTTCCATTTGGGAAAAATTAACGACATTTAGTTAAAATTGGGAAAAATATCATAATTCACATTTTTCTAGAAAAAATTCAAATATGAGCCATTTCTTTACTTGCAAGGCATTTATTGACTTATTTACATTCAATAAATCTTACTGAAAATCAGTTAACTTGTAATTGCTATTCTTTCTACAAAATTTAGAATTATTTGACTTTAATGTCATGCTTCAAATCATCTTTTGGGAATTTTCTTTGATGAAATTGGGAAAAACACACACTTTTTACCATTGGGAATGGGGCCTATTACAGGCCCCCTACGACCCCTAAAAAAACCCTGACATTAAATGTATTTGACCTATCAAAATCTATATTTTTATCACATGAAAAAAAAAATTATTTTAGCTCAGTTGCCTTTGTACAAAGACCCTTTAAGGACCTATTGAAATTTAGTTTTGAATTCAATATAACAATGAATTGTTGGATTCATAAAATGAAATCGAATTTTCAAACAAATTATTGAATTCATATGTTTGCTTGCTTTACGTTCATAAAATTCTTCACCCTTATTTGGATGTCACCAGTTGCCAATGGAAGGATGCGAGTTTATAGATGTGTAGTTGGCCATTGAGCAGTGAAGGGGCTTGTTAGTGCAACTAATGCCACATAGTATCTCAGTTTATATGGTTCATCCAAAGGAACAGTCTCCGCATCCTGCAGTGAGATTTGAATGACGTAATGATCAACTTTATAGGTGTAGAACAAAGAGTTTTTACTGCTGGACGACTGTTGAATTATTATAAAAAAAATTATTGAATCTTTACAAAAAAATTCTTAGATGAACTGAATTAGATTTGAATTTATAAATTTCAGAAATTATAGTTTCAAATTCTTCAATTTGTTTTACAAAATTTATAAAAGATGTTATAGAGTATTTTTATGAATGTTGTGATAACTGCAAATTCTGTGTAAATAAGTTAAAGTATTTTAAATTTCAAAGTTAAAATCCATTTAAACTGAGTGTACATTGTGATAACAACTAGTTAAAATTTGTTACAATAATTAATCCATTATAATTAAGTTTTATTTCAAATTTCATAGACATTGCCCATATAAATATAGGTACCGGTATTTATATAGGCAATGTCTATGAAGTATCTGTCTCGCACATCACCAGCTCACATGTTCAACAATTTGTTGTAACGATTTTCATTTTAACGGATTCGGTAATTCATTACGCATGTATTTTGAATTCAAAAATATTTTTAAAAAGGTCCTTAATAGTCTTCCATTCCATTGATATATGAATGTATAACATTTTTGTTTTTAGAATACCAGTGTTTTATTGATAGTGATTATGTTGTAGGATATATATTTATAACAGTTATTTTCATATGATCATCATTTGTGATTTCTATCCTTCATTCACAGTATCAGACAGTAGACAGTGGAGATTTCATTGTTGTTTCAATCTAATTAACATAAGATCTGATCTGATTCAATAGATCCACTCACATTGATCACTACATTTTATTGGAGCAGTTGAAAGGATCTAATTTTTAGGGTTGATTGTTATGGCATCTTTTCTGTCTCCCCTAATTTCGAAGAGCAGGATATCTGGTGGGCAGTGAAAGTCAGTTCATATTCGTAATTCATATTCATTGAGTCCTATATAGAAGGTCAGTTGTTAGAGTACCAGTCTGTGTCCTATATAGAAGGTCAGTTGTTAGATTACCAATCTGTGTTTTATATAGAGTGTCAGTTGTTAGGGTATCAATCTGTGTCCTATATAGAGGGTCAGTTGTTAGGGTATCAATCTGTGTCTTATATAGAGGGTCAGTTGTTTGGGTACCAATCTGTGTCTTATATAGAGTGCCAGTTGTTAGGATACCAATCTGTGTCCTATATAGTGGGTCAGTTGTTAGGGTACCAATCTGTGTCATATATAGAGGGTCAGTTGTTAGGGTACCAATCTGTGTTTTATATAGAGGGTCAGTTGTGAGGGTACCAATCTGTGTCCTATATGGAGGGTCAGTTGTTAGGATACCAATCTGAGTCCTATATAGTGGATCAGTTGTTAAGGTACCAATCTGTGTCATATATAGAGGGTCAGTTGTTAGGGTACCAATCTGTGTTTTATATAGAGGGTCAGTTGTGAGGGTACCAATCTGTGTCCTATATAGAGGGTCAGTTGTTAGGATACCAATCTGAGTCCTATATAGTGGATCAGTTGTTAAGGTACCAATCTGTGTCCTATATAGAGGGTCAGTTGTGAAGGTACCAATCTGTGTTTTATATAGAGGGTCAGTTGTGAGGGTACCAATCTGTGTCCTATATAGAGGGTCAGTTGTTAGGATACCAATCTGAGTCCTATATAGTGGATCAGTTGTTAGGGTACCAATCTGTGTCGTATATAGAGTGTCAGTTGTTAGGGTACCAATCTGTGTCCTATATAGAGGGTCAGTTGTTAGGGTACCAATCTGTGTCCTATATAGAGTGTCAGTTGTTAGGGTACTAATCTGTGTCCTATATAGAGGGTCAGTTGTTAGGGTACCAATCTATGTCCCATATAGAGGGTCAGTTGTTAGGGTACCAATCTGTGTCCTATATAGTGGGTCAGTTGCTGGGGTACCAATCTGTGTCGTATATAGAGGGTCAGTTGTTAGGTTACCAATCTGTGTCCTATATAGAGGGTCAGCTGTAAGGGTACAAATCTGTGTCCTATATAGAGTGTCAGTTGTTAGGGTACAAATCTGTGTCCTATATAGAAGATCAGTTGTTAGGGTTCAACATGTGTCCTATATAGTGGGTCAGTTGTCAGGGCATCTATCTGTGATACTAGTATTATATTTGAAGTATTTATGTCCCACATAGGGCTTGTTATTAGTGCAGCTACATCTGATGCTAGTTTATTTTTTAAATATCTGTGTCCTATATAGAGGGTCAGTTGTTATGGCACCTATCTGTGATACTAGTTTATATTTGAGTCTTATATAGAGGGTCCGATGTTAGGATACCTAGTTGTGACCTATATAGAGATCAATTGTTGGAGTATGCTATCTGTGATATTTTCATATTTGAAGCATTGAGTTCTTTTGAGACCTATACAGTGGATCTGTTGTTAGGGTTCCTACATCTTTATATGTGATACTAGTTCATATTTGAAGTATTCAAGTCCTTTTGAGTCCTGTATATATATAGGATCAGATGTTTTTCTTTAGGGTACCTATCTGGGGCACTAATCTCTCATACTAGTTTTATATTTGAAGTATATATGTCCTTTTGAGTCCTATATAGAGGGTCAGTTATTAAGTACCTATCTGTGATGCTAATTTTATAGTTGAAGTATTTGAGTCGTGTATAGAGGGTCAGTTGTTATGGCACCTATCTGTGATACTAGTTTATATTTGAGTCCTATATAGAGGGTCGGTTATTAAGTGCCTATCTGTGATATTAGTTTATATTTGAAGTATGCAGGTCCTTTTGAGTCCTGTATAGAGGGTCCTTTTGAGTCCTATATAGAGGGTCAGTTGTTAAGTACCTATTTGTGATATTAGTTTATATTTGAAGTATGCGAGTCCTTTTGAGTCCTATATTAGATGGTCCTTTTGAGTCCTATATAGAGGGTCCTTTTGAGACCTATATAGAGGGTCAGTTATTAAGTACCTATCTGTGATACTAATTTTATATTTGAAGTATTTGAGTCCTGCGTAGAGGGTCAGTTGTTAGGGCACCTATCTGTGATATTAGTTTATATTTGAGTCCTATATAGAGGGTCAGTTGTTAGGGCACATATATGTGATGCTAGTTTATATTTGAAGTATGCGAGTCCTTTTCAGTCCTATATAGAGGGTCAGTTGTTAGGGTGCCTATCTGTGATACTATAGCTTTATATTTGAAGTATTTCAAATATAGAAGAAAACTGCCTGTGCTATGTGATCCCATATTAGTCTTTATCTAAGATGGTTTTTCCTTATTTTTCATCACAATGTTAAGAAAACTGTCCTTGTTCAATGATGCTGGCGATGAAGCACTAGTATCTACCCTGCTTACCTGCTATACTATAACCATTTGAAAGTCCATATCTTCGTTTCGAGATTTCCATGATGAAATTCTCTGTTTTTACTGCTTCTCTCAGGTGTGGTTTTTTTCTGACTTCTCCAAAACTGACAGAATTTTTAAATACTCTGCATTATGTCTTTTAAGAATTGGATGAATAACATTGTTTTGGTGGCTTTTGGGTTGTTGGGTTTTTAAGCTGTTTAAGGATTTCAAATTTTGGAATTTTCACACGAATTTTGTTGTATTTATGTCCCCCTCTTCAGAGCTCTTTCTTTGGTTCATTCAATTTAAAAATGTTTTTATATTATTTTCTTTCTTTTTGCTTTTTTAAAAAGAAAATCTGTCTTTCTTACAAGGAATTTTGCGGCAGAAGCTCATTTGAATTTTCTTTGAAAGTGTCCGTGAAATTAAAATTTGTATTTTATTATAAGTGATTAATGGTTTGATTTGCAGAGACCAGCGATGGAAAAATGCATCGATTTTATTGTGCCATATCCAATTACTTTTGTATACAGTTATTGATATTTTGTTGGGACTTTTTTTTCTATTGATGATGTTTAATATTCATTCGATACAATGAAGTGAATAAATGGAGATATTCAAAATAATGTGTTGATTTTTTTCCACATGAACTTCAATTGTGTGCATAATGAGGATTCTGGAAAAATTAGGGCAAATCACGTATATTCCTTATTAAATCGATATTTTTAATTAAGGATTCCTTTAAGCAACGATCGACTGTCGGAATGTGGTGCAAGTTGGTGCTGCGTCAACATTGAATATGAATTAATTTTCTTTACAAAGATTTATCTCTTTGATTTAGAAAGTGGAAATAATTCATTCATGAATTTTTCATGAAAAAAAAATGCTTTCCCGTAAAGTGATTTGACCTTCAACTTTCTCCATGGAAATGTAACGAAGATCGCACGCAGCAATCACGTCCAAGTATGCTTCATACGACGGCATCCAATGGGTGCATCTCCTAATGGATAGAGCTCCTAATCCGCCATGGTGTCGTCAAGGTAAGCTCGTATTTGACCGTGAAAGTTCCATACAAAAGTTAGGCCTATAATTTCTATTTTGAGGATCAAATTAGTCAATATTAAATTTTCAATATGTTTATGTTAAACAATTATGTGTAAAGATAGTCGGCCACTGTGCATTGAGTGGTTACTAGACGAGATGCATTATTTTTACTATGACGAAGAAACCACCTCCCGCGGCTCATAAGAGGGGGGGGGGGGGGGTCGTACATTTTATACATAATGTTACATAGAATTATTGATTGCCCTGTCAGTTCGTGCACAAGAAAAATGGAAAATAGGAATGCTAATTGTAGAAGTATCTATAGATGCGACTTCAGCAAGTCCTTAAGTGACAAAAATCAGTTTTATTATATATGAATCTTGATTCACTTGAATGACATATAGATAGTGTAAGGTAAGGTCCTTCATAATGTTAATTTGATTGTTAACAAAATATTTTATTAATATACCCTTATTTCTATTCCCTTATCCGGTCTCCTGCTCACCAACAGGGAGAAAGGAGTAGGATTTTGAATGAGAATGGTAGGGAAGAGCTTTTAGTTCGAATACAAGCTTTGTCTTTGTATTCCATCAATATTCTACCGTGTTCTCGTGTACTTCCCTGTATGAATATGAGTTGAGCTTTGTTTTTATCTGTGCCATTGAGGTCTCTGTTAAAGTTGATAAATAACTAATTGATTAATATTTGCTGACTTTACTTTGATTCTTTACAAAAATTAAAGAGTTTACTTTTGAAAAATCCCGCTGAAATGTCCGTTGAATTTTTCCAGGTAACTGATATTGCTTCCGTCAAAATGTCTTATAAATCTTCCCCTGAAATGTCCGTTCACATATTTTGCAATATTCAGCTAAAATATCCTTTGCCCTTCTCCATAAGGTGCAAGATGTATCAGTACATCCATATAAGGTTTATATTAAGTTACATACATTTTACAAGTATACATAAATCATTATCACAAATTATAATTTTTTTTATAGTTTGAACAATTACCATGCATTTTTATGAGGAAAAAAATGTGATACATAACAAGATTTTAGGAATGACTCTAATTCTTGGCCAAATTATTCGCGTATAACCTGGTTTGGGTCAGTTTACGCTTTATAATCCGCGAAGCGGATTATAAAACAGCGTAAACTGACCCAAACCAGGTTATACGCGAATAATTTGGCCAAGAATTAGAGTCATTCCTTATAATTTAATTTTAAAATCATCAAATAACTATGGGTGTAAAATTTCGTTGCTTTTTATTAGTTCAAATTTGCCGCTCAATAATACAACCGTAGTAACGGAAGTACCGGAAGTGATGGGAAGCGAGGGGAGGTAAAAACTGATACATAGGCCTAGCAGCCTTGTTGTTTGTTTACACGTGGTAAGATCGAATTATTGTTTGGTACATTCATTAAATCTGGAATTTTCCATGAATCCCGAGGACTGGAAATGAGAGGATTGTACGGATACAGATGATTCAGCTGGTTGTCAGGGGGGTGTGTCCCCATACCAAACCAGGTTATACAGAAATAATTTGTGTTCCTTTTTGGATATTAACCAATCAGAGGTTAGAATACAAACAAAATTAAATTATTAAGTAATAACATAATATGTATTTGATTCATTATATTTCATGAAAACGCAATCGTCCATGAAACCTCTGTTTTTAAAATATATTCACAAACGGAATCAAACAAGGCAACATTTTTATAGATGAAATATCATTGTCACCAAATATTAAAACATGTAGATTTACAGGTTGTTGCAGACCAGTACTAGATACATGTCTAGTTGTATACAGTTAAAAAGATTATTTCTTTGTTCTATATAACACGGACACTCAAAGAAAAAAAAAGATATACGATGTATGCACTTTCGGTATAAAAGCACAGGCAGTTGATTCCGAAATATTTTATAACCCGTTTGAAAAACCAGTTTTCACACTATAAATATTTCTGTATAGATAAGCATTTAAACTAGCATTATTTCTTAATTTACAATGGATAATAATTTGACTACGAATGCCATGACTAAAAAGTTTATTGGGAGTTTTATTATAAGCTTTCTCTAATGGTGTTTGTAATAGAAGATACTAAAAGTATAGAGTATAGGGTTAGTAGATTTCTAATATGATATGGTAAATTGTACAATAATTTAACAGTAGATGGGATATACAACTATTCACATATGATGTATTTGTAGCGTGAGGAATAAGAAAAGTAAGATCATCCTGATTTCTTGAAGGATTACTAGCCTTATGATGTTACTGAATTCTCGGTGACACAATCAAACACCACCGATGGATACTTGTTTAAAAACTAGGGGTGTGACAATACATCGATATATTGATGCATTGTGATACAGAGGGGGTCGATATGACGTATCGATACATAAAATGAAGAATCGATTTCGTTCCCGATACTTAAAGCAAGTACATATAATGTGTATGTTTTGGTTTCAAAATTAGAGTACATGTATTTGCATAAATAACACTTATGGTAGTACTTATTAAAAACGAGAAGAAAAGTCAAATGTCTTCTCTTTTATTAGAGATTAAAAGAAAAAAGTTAAAACTAATATTTGCTTTAATACTTGAAAATTTAAAAACTTGATATATCATGATATATAGAGAGGATATTCAATGTTTTGTAGATGAATATGGAATTTATTTCACGAGTGGGACAGGATTTTTTTTTTATATATATTATAATATTTTCATGAGTGCGATATTTTTCGGAAATATTGTGATGCATCGTGATACTTTCCCCCTCACGATACACAGTCCTATTGTGAACCTTAGGGAGTACACCCAGCTAGACCAGCTAATTTCAGTTGATAAAGGATGAAAAGTCATTTTGGATGTTGATGATCTATACTTGAAGATTAATCATTATTTTGTCCTCGATGTTTCAATATTTTTTCCTCAAATCGTTGAATCTGCATAGGTTAGCATAAAATTATGTTATAACTGGATATAAGATAGATAACTGCGGTGTTCTTATTAAAAACAAATGGTCAAACAGTAGAATTCTGAAACGGACCATAATTTGAACGGTAACGCAACTGTTGTTGTAAAGAGTGCGTTTGATTGGCTGAAAGATGACCGATTTTCCCCATCATGTTTACAAAGTTCCATGTCCACGTGAAAAGGGGATGTTTTCATGAGTTCATATATAAACAAACGGCCTTCAGAATTTATTTAGCGGCTGAAACTCAGAGAGGAAACAGTAGACTTAAAATTTAATTTGGGAATACATTATTTTGTGTAATATAAGAGGTAAGTTCAGTTTTACTTTTGAAGTGGAATAGCTTTTTAGACATTTATAATCAATACATCGTTACATGTATTGTCTATGAAACATTCTCTAACGGTAAAAATGTGCAAGATATTTAAGAAAAAAATATTTTTCCTATAAATTATAAAGCAGTTTATAGTATTTTCAATTTATCTGGAAATATTTTCATTTCTGTCATATAAAATGAATGCAAGGGAATACACGAGTTACCGTAGTGTCTAATACACAAGTATAGATTTCACGGACATCGTGTTTATTATGACCTAGATCCATATTGATATTCCCGTCATCAGCTGTTCTGTTGATAAAGAACTATCGGATTTTTGTCTAGAATATTCTTTAATGATATAAATGAGCCACTACGCAATTTTTGTTTATGAATAACCGACGATAAATAGGCCTAGCCGAAAAATATTGGTAAACAGATAATAAAAAAAAAAATTGACACGCATGCGCATATTGTACAATGACGAGTGCATGATCACAACATGCACACGTTATGCTGTGTTTAATGATTATGAGGTCAGCATTAAAAGGTATCGTAATATAACAAGCAGTGTCTTTGTTACCTTATCATAACTTACATGTACTACGTACGTGATAGATAAGAAACATCTAAATCGAACAGCTGTCGAAGGACAGCGAAAATAAAAATACACCAGTCTTAGAATATAGAGAAGGGCATAGGGATTCGTTTTCCTAATTTTGGCAGTTTTCTTTGCAGTAATCATGTTGGACAACGAAATGTTGGTGGATAGACATCCAAGTCACGACCTGTGCAATCCGTTCGAGGTCTCTTCATCCTTGGCAATGCCCAGCATGCCCAAAGGTGGCGTTTTGGTCAGGGTGAGTAGATTTTAAAAGTCACGTGGTCACTAGGTATTAGAAAAGTTTACTATATGTGAATACATTTCTAAAATTGCCAAGTTAATTATATCCAACTTGATCCCATAGGTACAGTGTCTAGGAGCTTGCTCACCAGAAGGACAGATAAAGAGGAAAGATTTGCACCCTATATTGCCAGGTATTGAAGTAGCTGGGGTTGTACAAGATGTGTGCCCCTCAATACCCAACAGAAACTTCAGCACAGGAGACAGAGTTATTTTATACCTTGATGAAGACTTTGCAGAGACTGGATACCAGGAGTACATAGCTATTGATGATACTGAGAAATGTATCCAGATCCCAGACTCCATACCTTTAGAAGTAGCGGCAATGTTACCCGGAAGTGCCCTGTCGGCATACAGTGCAGTAATGAAAGCCAAACCACACATAGAGAAACTACAGGAGGTCAAATGTAAGTATATATATTTATTACATGTATTTAAAATCTGAATATAAGGACTGTTGATATAATTCTACCATGTAAAATATTTGAAATTTTTATTTGCAATTAGGGAGAACAAAAAAATAAATATATGGCCTCTTATTTTTACAGCTGGAATTAATGTCCTCATTGTTGGTGCTGGTGGATTAGGACTCTGGGCAGTGCAGTTGGCCAATTACATGCTCTCACAATTCAGTCAGACCAACATCAAATTATTTGTATCAGACAACAGTATTGACAAACTGCTAACTGCACTAGATCATGGATGTTATGACGTCATTCATTGGAACGAAGAAGATCACGAACAGTTTATCATAGAGCGAACACTGGAAGCCTGCAAAGGAGGAGTGGATGTTGTCATTGATTTTGTCAGCTCTCCAAGAACAGTGCACAGAACTCTGAAAGTTCTCAATAGAGTGAGTAGAGTTCAGCTATCTTGAAAGTTTTCCTCTATAAAAAGCTCCTGACAGACATTATAGATTGCAACTCAAATCTTGAATTAATGCATCTATTGTTTTTTGTAGGAGGGTTTAATATTGGTTGGAGGCAACACAATGTCAGAAGTTAGCATCAATTTGAATGTCCTGGCAGCCAAACAACAAAGTATAGTAGGAATACCAAAAGGATCCCTCAAAGAGCTGCTGGAATTGGTTGACCTAGTTGCAGACCAGAAGGTTAGTAGAGTATAGGTGATCCATTATCAATGTCAAAGAAAAAGATAAATTTTTCAATCTATGGATCTCCATTTTTTTCGTTCATGTTATTAATGATTCATTTTGTACTATTACAGGTCAAACCTCCCCTGTTTTCTATTCACAATGTTGAAGATGCAAACCAAGTTTTTGAAGACCTTTACCAAAGTCGGATAACAGGGCGGGCCATTCTCAAGATCAATCACTCTCAAACAGTTGACAATTGAAGAAGCCATTGTACTGTCAGTGTGCCAAATAAGTAAAACAAGAAAGGAAGATGGGATGATTTAATCGTCCTTATAATTTATGGCATTGCTGATATGCAATACTTGGCTGTGTCCCTGAATTCTGAGTTTTCTTCCAATCCTGGAAGACTAGAATTCTGGAAGCCACATATTCATCCAATCCATGATCTGAAACAGTAAATGGTGCTCTGTGTAAAGTGCTTGATGATTGGAGAAATCCGATGATCACGTGATGATCTGAACGAGGACTATAGTGCTATTACCGCAATTCTGTGCCCCTAGTGTTCAATAACGAGTGATTGTTAATTATTTTGCAAAATAGACCTGGATCATACCATAGACTTGATGTACTTTGCTTGAGTATGTGTGCATCATTGACATCCAAATAATACGATAGCTTGTTCAACACGGTCAAGGGCGATTTAAAAGAACTGTTGTGAACAGTTCAGACATTGACTTGATATTTGTTGTCCTTTTTCGTTGCGGCATTATTTATTAGTTGCATCAAATGTGGTGATATGACATGTGATTCAGAGAGAGTGCCGAGTGGTAGTTTTGAATGTGTATGAATATTGTGAATGGTGTACGTGCGAAATGAGAATTGTTTTTGTTACAGCAAATTAAAGATGTATGATTTTTATACTTATTAAAATTCATGAACCTAAACAGTCTTAATATGTGAATGCAGATAGCCCAGATTTAGCACTATGGCCACGGTAAATCATGTTTACAACCCTTACAGGAGAGACAAGCTGACTTTGTCAAGAGGAACACTGCGTATGCTTTTGTGCAGAGCATTTAAATTGCCAGATAAAACTTAACTGCGTAATTCCTTAAATAATTAAGTCAAGGACTTGTCCTGTTTTTTTCTTCCAAAATTCAAACGCAAATGTAATCCTCGCAGATCTATTCTGAAGTAGATTTCAAGATTTAAAATGGTTTAATTTAGACCAACATTAACCCTCCACACCTTTGCTAATTTTAATTTTACCGTTTAATATTATATCATTGCTAGTACCATATTGCAACAATATGCTTACATTGTATGATTTGCAGACATTAGAGGAGTATATAGAACAGAGAACTCCATGAGTATGTACTTGCTCTTCGTGGTATTAATTAAATGTGGACTTGTAGGAACAAACCTTCCCGATCAATGAAGCTGGCTCATTACATAATTTGTGATCGACCCAACACTTGTTCTTGACAGACCACCCCCTATCATGTAATAGTATCTGCAACACTTGGCAACTTATAGAAAATAGACTTGGAAATTAATTAAAGCGAAATAAAAACACTATTAAGGCAAGGAATATCATTTGCTTGACACATGAAAGCTAGCTTCTTTTTTTTTACCTACCTGATATTTTTTTATAATTAAACTCGTTGTCCAACAATGCCTTTCCATAATCTTTTGAAATAAGATTATATTAAGAAACTTTTCAGACCAATGTAATTAAGAAAATAATTCACAAAAATATATTTTGGTCTTAGTCGTAGGTTCATTTGTAAAACGGGGCCTGGACATTTAGGACTTTGTGATATTTTACCAAAAACTTATCGTTTCTTCAATTTATTAAACTGAAGCCATTAAACTCACTCTGAAAGTATCACTGACACCACTCATGGCAATCTTTGACTAGTGTAACCAACTTCTACTCATGTGCTTTCATAAACTCTTAAGAAGATTGATCCAGCTAGTATTTTGCGTTGTTTTTCAAAACATAAAAACAACCTAATAATCTTCAAGAATGATCCATGCAAAACAAGCCAGCTGGAGGGAAGCAGACGAAATCACACCAAGGTCACAGGCGTGACATGAATGACACGAGCTGTTTAATCAGGACAGGAAAAAACGTAAACACTCGCACAAAAAAGTAAAGCTGCTTTACTGAGTTAAGAGTCAAATATCTAAAGGAGTGAGTCAGTATCGATTTCGAGTTGTTTACATGCTCGGTCCATGATAACGTGACGAAAATCATTGTCTAAAAATCAACAAAGAAACATTTAAAAAAAGTACATTTGACTACACTTGACCTTAACATTGCTCAAAAAGAGACTGTTTACGTTGTGTTTGGTTTTCCATGTGGCGTATGCTATATTGCGAATATTTGGTTTTGTATTTCCTGTTTATCAAAAACATGTGTATCATATGGTTCGTTGTATCTAGATCTATTACCTAATATGCAATCAGCCCTCTCTAAAGTCAATGTTATGCATCATTATCAGTTTAATACAATGACTCTAATAAAATCCAGAAATTACTAAAATTATTTAATAAAAACAGCATTAACGATTTTGGCATAAACAAGAGGCCCATGGGCCTTAATGGTCACCTTAGTAACATGAGTTTTTCAGGCTATATCCACTTTGAGCTCACCTGGAACTGGCTAAATAGACTTATATAGATCACATGTATACAGTTTGATGAGAATTCTGTAATTGTTATCAAATTTATGTACCTTGTCCCCTATAAATTGATGAGTGAATGAAATAAACATTGTATAATGAATATCAACACATGACACCCTCCAAACAATTTTAAAGATTTTCTCCTATTCCTACATAAAATTTGATCCCAAATTGTGCCCCTTCCCCACACCCTACAATGATTGGAAAAATATACTTGCATCTGCATATCTGAGGATTTAAGCTGGGATATCATGATCCAGCATATTAAATCCTCTGTTCTAAATGAGCAGAATTTGATGATTTGAACAGGCATTCTGGATTACTTGAGGATGCTTCCATATAAATATGACTGTCAATGGCTCTGTACATGTAGTTCTTGAAAAGAAGACTTAAAGTTTTTCCCTAGAAACTCATATATTAAACCTTCATATCCTGGCCTCACCTTACCCCCAGGGGCAATAATTTGAACAAACATGAATCTACAATACGGTACATGAGGATACTTCCATATAAATTTGACCATCTATAGTTTGCTGTTCTTGAGAAGAAGATTTTTAATGATTTTCACTATATATTCCTATGTAAAACTTTAATCCTCCATTGTGGACCCACCCTCCCCCCCGGGCGTCATGTTCTAAACTAACAAGAACCTTCACTACCTGAAGAATCTTTCATATAAATATGACCGTCTATGTCCCTGCTATTCGATCTTGAGAAGATTTTCAAAAAAAAAACCCTATATATATTCCTATGTAAAAGTTTGATCTGCCATTGTGGCCACACCCTTCCCAGGGGGTCATGATGTGAACAAACATGAATCTACACTACCTGATGATGCTTCCATATCAATATGACCATCTTTGGCTTTGCTGTTCTTGAGAAGATTTTTAATGATTTTACTAAATATTCCTAAATAAATCTTTGATCCCCCATTGTGGCCCCACCCTCTCCCCAGGGGTCATGATTTGAACAAACGTGAATCTGAATCTGAATCTGAATCTAAACTATGTCAGGAAGCTTCCATATAAGTTTCATCTCTTCTGACCCAGTGGTTCTTGAGAAGAAGATTTTTAAATGATTTACGAAACTTCGCATTGCAAAAATTCAATAAATACTTAATTAGAAATAAGATTAAAAATTATTTAATATAATTATTATCAACATGTCTCTAAATAAATCATCATTTTTATAGTTTTATTTTATTTTAATTATTTCTTTATTTATTGGTTAGATGAATGTTTAAAAACGTTAAAAGTAAAATTTTAAATTACATTAGACCAATTTTATCCTTTAAGTGCATTTTTCTTTTGCATTATAGCAACAGAAATAGTCTCATATCTAAACATAGTAAATCTTAGTGTCAGAATATTCAGCTATCTATTGCAAATCTGACCTGGAATAAATTAAGGTAGCCAAAATGTTTAATTATACCATAATATTATTATACCACAATTTGTCAAATGTGTCGACATACTAAAATTTTGACCTATTTTAGAACAAAGACCAAGAAGTGAAGTGCGGACAGCTTATCTAGTCCTTATCGTCCCCCCCCCCCCCCCACACACACACACAATCATGTGTAAACACAAAAGAGGAAATCTGCTGTTCGTTAGATGACGAAGAGATATATTAATTTCTGTTGCAGTTTGAATAGATTCATAACAAAATACTACCGTGATATCATCTAATGGCTTAATTCATTTTATTGCAGAAGTTCATTCACTCATACAAATACTTTTACAATCTGCAAGAATGCGTTCGAGTAGGGAGAACACTGACCAAAACTAATCTTTACAAGTTTTTATAGGTTATGTAAACAAATTAAACCGTCCCATGCTTTCTTTGTCTATTTTTGTAGCCATAATACATTCATGGAAAATAGTTGAATCTGATTCGTCGAGAAACATTTTTTGAAAATACAATTACCCGCTGAATAATAAAGCCACCCCCTCCAGCGTAGCAACAGTCAACATTGCTTGTCGACGTGTGATATTCCAAAAAATGTCGACTGCGTAGAATTAATGCGCGTAAAGTTCACTGTAATATAAATCTGTATAAAACATTCAGTATAATATAATAAATACTGCAATTAGTTGTGTGTATCTTTAAATTTTCACCCCAAGAAAACCATTGTCAACCGAGGCGCAGCCGAGGTTGACAATGGTTTTTGAAGGGTAAAAGGGTGCAAAATTTATATTTTGTTATCCCGCGAAAACCATTGCTGACCTCGCTTTCGCCTCAGTCAGCAATGGTATTCGCAGGATAACAATTTCAGCTGTTACCCAAGATAAAAATGTAATTTTTTTTTATACTGAATGTATTTAAAATGCATTCAAAAGAAAAGGCCACAGTGAACTGTACGCGCGGACATTCTGCGAGGTTAACAATTTTTATACTGTTACCCGTCGTCATGCATTATCAACCGTTGCTATGTAATGTTACCCGGAGGGCGTGGTTTACAGTGGGTAACAGTACTTTTTAACAAATGTTTTTAAACTAATCAAATTTGACTATTTAACATGAAAGTACAATATATTTTGTCGTTCTGCATATTTTGCAGTCGGCGACAATATGTACCTACTCTTACTGTTGTCGTCGTCGACAATATGTCTTGTGAACATTTGTACAATTTGTCGCCAATATATTGTTTTGAGGAATATTTACTGGGATCCTTAAAAGAGGAAATGACAGACACCCTCAGAAAATTGTGTCCAGGATTGGTGTACAACAGTATGATATGCCAAGATACCGGAATTCTGGTTTTATCTGATAAATCAGAATGTTGCTGACGACAATGTGTAACGTCTCAAGGTGTCCAATATTAAATTCTTTTGATTGTTTTTTTTTTAAAACAAAAGACAAGAAAGTCTTATTTATTTGTTAATTAAAATAACTATTAAGACATAGATAATAGGGAAAAGAATGAAACATTCACAACACGAAGTGTCATATCTCAACGAATTGATTATTAGGTATAATTCAAGAAGATAGTAGTACCTAATCAGACAGACACACATATTTATATGACATACTTAGGTATATGTATATTGAATGCAATGTTGCACTTTATCATTGTAAAAATTCAGCATGTTTACCCAGGTGCACCAATACTTTCAAATAAACTATCAATATGACTGCTGTATTTTAAAAATAAAATAGATAAAGTGGTGTCAAATATGTACTGCTATGTCAAATCAATGTCAAACGTTATCAAAAGATATTATGTATGATATCACCCTTGCTATAAAAATTTG